CGCTCCGGCCGGACAGGGCATCACAATTATGGTAAGGGGCGTAACATTTCCGTCACACGCTTGAGGTATTCGGCCAATCACAATGCACTGGATAGCTGGCCAATCAGAGCACACCTTGCTTTTTCAGACCGATGAGCTTTGTAAAAATCGAAAGGCGTTTCAGAAAGGCGGGGCATAGAGGAGAAACAATAATGTACAGTATGTGGAAAATAATGTGTTTTTGAACCTTAAACCACATAAACACATTGCATTACACCAAATACACAAAATAATGTTCTTTTTAGCAACGTCATATGACCCCTTTAACTTCTTTCGTTACTACTTTTTTTTTTTTTACATCCTCTAAATATTCTCCTTTCCCACAAATTTCAAATCTCATTAGTGTCAAGGGTGTTTAACCCTGCTCCTACAGGGCCACCTTCCAGCAGAGTTTAGCTCCAGCCCAAATTAAACACACCTGATCCAGCTAATCAAGGTGTCCAGACTCACTAGAAACTCACTGGAAAAGAGCATCATGAACATTCTTCCTAACATGTCTTCTTGTATTCCACAAAAGAAAGAAAGCCATACAGGTTTGGCACAACATGAGGGTGAGTAAACCTTTCCAAGAATTACCATCGGTGGGCAAACACAACAAATAAAAAATAAAATCAAAAGATATAATGAGTGATTCGCACCTGCGTGGTGGCTGTAGTCTGAATCTTCTTAATTTCTTTGTCCTTTCCATCGTCGGATCTCTCTGTGTCTGAAGTGGTGCTGGCTGCGTCCCCTCCGCTCTTTCCTGCCCTGGCCTCCCCAACCTCTTGCTCCAAACACTCTGCTGTCCTGGCTGCAGCCTGAGCCTCGGTTTCTGCCAGTGTGCTGATGTCCGCCAAGGAGCTGTGCAACTTAAACCCATCATCTTCTGTTAGGCCACTTGGGGTTTGAACCAGATCTGAACCACAAGAAGTCATGTGGGCCAGCAGGCTGAGGTCGTCACTGGCGCTTGAAGTGTGTGGAGTTGTTGGACAATGGGGCTGTTCAGGGCTGGGCAGCACCAGGGGCTCCGTCGACGCCAATGAGGGAAGCAGCTTCTCATCCACCTTGGGGAACAGGAAGCCATTGTTGCTGGGAACGCTGTCCTTTTCATCTGCCAGTGTGATTAGAGGACCCAGGTTCCCATCGTCTTCAGTCAATCCCACCACAACGCTTTCCTCCTCTTTGGGGACAAGACTCCCATTGAGCTTGTGAACTGCTGCACAGTAGGCGCTGTCCAACAGCGAGTCTACTTCCACCAAGGGACCATTCTCCATGCCACCTCCTCTTCCAAGAACCTCCGGGGACAGATCCAGATCGTCTAATTTAACCTCTGTAGCCTCCACCTTCTCAGCTTTGATGTCCACCAGCAAGTCATGGACTTCCACACGTACCCCTGCGGCCGACCTTTCAGCTTCGCCCTCTGGACCTTTGGTCTCGGCCAGCAGGTTCCGAGAGTCTGCGTTTTCTCCATAGTCTGCCTCGCTCTCTGGTGTTTGCGTCTGAGATGTGTCATCGATCTCGCGGATCTCCAGGTTTCCGTTGACAGTGGTGGGTTGGGCGGAAAGGCCGGAAATTGTGCTGACGGAACCTTTCTTTCCTTTCTTGATGTTCTCTTCCTCTTGTCGTTGGTACTCCTCGTACATCTTTGCCAGGTACTCTTTGTGCGCCTCATAGGTCACCTAAAGAGGTGGGTAGTAGTGGTTGTAAGTCTACCTTTGTGCTAGTCTACTTTCCAAGCAGATTTTTATCTTATCATCTTCACCATTAGATGGATTCAACTGGATCACTTTATCCAATTAGAAAAAAAAAAGACTTGTCCGTTTAACTAAAATCAAATACAATTACTGTTAGTAGTATGACCAAAAGACAAGGCCATAGAGTGGAGACGCTAAAAATAACAACTGTTTCATCCTTCACTGACATAAGAAATGCATTAAAACCATTAAATATGATTTTACGAAACTAAATATATCAAGAAAAGAGCTAAGAGCTGCAGATTGGTTTGCTCTAACCTTGGAGTGGGCGATGGAGAGTGTGTCCACCCACACGCGCCAGCCTCCCCACTCATACTTGATGGCATGGTAAAGCAGGATACGGAATATGTTGTAGACCATTTCAGTGATCTTCTGCTCCTCTGGGTTCTTTGGGTTAATGTAGCCCAGAGAGAACATCCAGTCCTGCCACACTGAACACTGCAGCAGACACCTACACACATTACAATGACACCATGATGCCAATTTAGATAGAATGGACTAATTCTTCACTCATGCAGAATGTTAACTGATGTAAAAGATCTGCCGCTAAATTTTTACGACACCTGTTTTTAACAGTGGCTATACACTAATGGAAAACATGGTTTTCGAAAGATACTAAATTTATGCATGCTCATTTCCTCTATTTTTACATTTAAATTACCTTTGAGTCATCTAATGCTCAATTTAAGTTAATCTTCCAAAACACTATTACTTTAATAACACCGTTAAATGTAATTTTTTAAACATTTAAAAATCAATATCCATATCCATTTTTCATACTCAACATTAATGTTGTGATTTTATTTTGTATTCCTTTTTTTAATAGTGTGTGAAATATTGCAAATTATGCTCTGATAAATATTTCAAACAGTCGTAAGCTATATTATAGTCCCATGACCTAATTATTACCCCATGTTGAATTCGTTCCAGTAATGGAAACCTGGAAACCTTCACTCTATGTAATCAGAACTAAATCAAATCTAAACTTAGAGAATCACTCTGTAAACAAAAGCTGAACGCATCAGAACCACATAAAGACAAACAGCCTACGCAAAGTACTAAGGAGGGAGTGGTTTATGATTGTTAGAACTTGCTGGAAATACTCCTCTCATCTCAGATTCCAGACACGTCTGCTCACTTCAGAATGCCGGGCTTGTTATGGAATACAGAAACAAGCAGTCCCACTTCACCACTGCTAAAATAGTGTGTGAAATATTGCAAATTATGCTCTGATAAATATTTCAAACAGTCGTAAGCTATATTATAGTCCCATGACCTAATTATTACCCCATGTTGAATTCGTTCCAGTAATGGAAACCTGGAAACCTTCACTCTATGTAATCAGAACTAAATCAAATCTAAACTTAGAGAATCACTCTGTAAACAAAAGCTGAACGCATCAGAACCACATAAAGACAAACAGCCTACGCAAAGTACTAAGGAGGGAGTGGTTTATGATTGTTAGAACTTGCTGGAAATACTCCTCTCATCTCAGATTCCAGACACGTCTGCTCACTTCAGAATGCCGGGCTTGTTATGGAATACAGAAACAAGCAGTCCCACTTCACCACTGCTAAAATATGCATTGTGATTTTGGTATGCAGTTGTAACCATGGCAGCAGCTGACTGAGTGGGCCTGGATGCATGGTGTGCCGTGGGCTTATTTAGGATAGAAGTGTGCAGACACACACATACACACTCTCTCTCTCAATGTACCTAAATCTTATTAATGAGCAAATAAGGCTAACCTGAGTCCAACAGGTGACAGTCAGGCTTAGCCTCCACAGGAGCCCATGAAACGGAACAATGCAGAGAGAATGCCACTACAAATCTTCATTCCTTAATGCATTAATTATGACACTAATTGATTTAATAGGAGGGAGCATCTTTCCCACTGAGAGGGAGAGGCTAAATGCTTCTGATGTTTGCATACAGCTTGCTTGTGTAAACATATTGTAGTGTCTGCATATGTCTGGGTTTCTGTGGGCATGTTTGTACGTAAGAGGGGAATTGTATGATGTGTGATTCATCTTGTGAAATTCTTTTGTATGTTTATCTATAAATATTAGGTTTTGTTTGTATGTGTGTCAGGGGTGTTTTCTCAGAGGATCTAAGGGAGGAAGTGCCTTTTTACTCAACAGTAAAAAGTTATGAATTGTTTGCTCATTGATATTCAATGCTAAATGGCCTTCTATTGGCCTTAACATGAAAAAACTGTACATTCAGAACATGAATTTACTTTAGACAAAAAACCTAAACACAGATTTAGTATTCACCACTAGTGTATATAAACAGCTTACCGTCTGTTCTCTCTGCTGTTACTGAAGAGTTTGATCATGTCGGACAGGAAGAGGCGTCGTACTTCCATCAGCTCAGCGCTGGGGGAGGAACTTTTAAGCAGCGTAGCCATAACCTTCAGAATCACTGAGAAAATCAAAAAGAAGGAGAGAGAGAATTGAGAGAGAGATTGATCTGATGTGTGTTGAAATTGATCTGATAAAATAACTAGAAATGAAATGAACATCAGACTTACTGGGGTTTTGGATCTTGACTGTAGAATCGGGTTCTGGGTGAGGCTTATGCACCACCTGAGTGCAAACCTGTTCTGTTAAGATCTACATTAGACAAAATTCAGTTTGATTAGATCAGAAATCAGTTATTCAAATACACATTATCATCATTCTTATAAATATATTAAAGATAAGGTTTCAGAGAGAACGCTCTCAAGGAAGCCTTAATAATTTGTTAAAATATATCTGAATATAAATAATAATAATGAATAATATTTTTGCTAACACATTATTTAATATATTCTATTTTAATACACCATATTCCTAAATTGCCCGGCACTTGGATATTATCATTTTAATAAACAATGCTGTTTATCATAAAGCTGCTTCAAACACTTTTCATGCCTAAAAAAACCTTTTACTCTTGGTAAAATCACTGCATGCATGGCCTCGTGGCTCATTGTTTTAATAACTGTGGCAATAAATATTTATTAATAGATATAAATGATTACAATGGCACCATAAATTTATTAAAATGCATTGAAGTGTATTTTCCCCTCGTTTTACACAGACATGAATATTTCTTGTTATTGGACACTTCTGCTTCTAGTAAAAATTAATCATGGTAGTTATAATCATATAACCATATAGAGAATTTCTACAATGGATTCTCCATTTGTGACAGCTGCCATATCACAGAGAGCAAAACATACTGAGAGGACCTTTAGAAATACCTTTATAATGCATTGTATACAGAAAGTGTTTAACCTAGAACCGTTTCGTTCAGACAAGTGGATACCTCATAGAGCGTGTTGTAGGTGGTGATGGTCACAGTGCTGGTGTGCATCATTAGTCGCTCTCCGAGCAACGTGAAGAGGCTGTGTGTGTGCATGATCTCCACCTTCCCCCTGCACACAGACACACACACACACACACACACACACACACACACACACACACACAGAGCACAGGGGGAGATGAGATAAGAGGCGCATGTGACATGTTGTTTGCAGTGACATTGACAATGCAAAGGCAGGTATAAACTCACTCACTGGTTCAATTTTACCCCACAGCCTTCCACACCATTAAGATCAATGAGGAGACGCAAGCAACTGGCACACTGATGTGATTAGAAGTGACATCGCACTCCTCAAGGGCACACACACACACAACACACAGCTGTCAGTGGCCCTCTTACAGCCTTTCAGAGACATCAGTGTTCCCGAGCACATCAGTCAGGGGGAGGGGACATGACAGCACAAAGACCGCCGGACAAATACATTTAATTCACCACTCAGACAAGGCTGAAGATGCATATGACAAATTAATATGCAAATTAATGACACACACAGTTCTGCACGTGGGCGTGTCTAACATAAAGCTAAATTTCCTAAATATTAGTAATAAATAAAAAAAATGGGGAAAAACAAGTTTGGGAAATGACACTAACCAGATTTTATTATATATTCTATTTGAAGGATTAACAAGTGTTTTTTTTTTTAATAATCTGATTTTATATTTAAGCAGGAAAGTGTCTGAATTATGATGAATAACCTTAAAGGGGTCATATGATGCTATTTTAAAGATCATTATTTGGTGTAACAGAATATGTTGACACTTTAATGTTCAAAAAACACATTATTTTTCAAATATTGTACATTATTGTAGGTCCTCTATGCCCCGCCTCTCCTGAAACCATGCCTTCTTTCTTTGCGTGTATATTTGGGCGGCATTATGCAAATATTTCCACATCGTGACGTAGACATGTGGGGGCGTGTTTGAACAAGGCATTTTAGCCCGGTTTGGATCAGCCTTCTCTTTTAGATAGAATAAATCCTTTTGTGGGAGACTTTGAGCTTTGTAACTCTGCAGATCATATACATGCACAAACAGCCACATAACACATTAAAGAAAAGGAGAAATCGCATCATATGACCCCTTTAATACATTGTAAAATAAAACAAAGATTATTTCAGTCTTATATATTTATATTTAAGTCTTTCTCCTTCAAGATTTCACATTTAATTTGATTTGTTTCTTGGAATTTCTATGTAATTAATTGTGATATTTACTAGCAATTTCTGTGTGAAAATAGTTTAATTACCAAATTGTTTTCTTTGTAGCATATTGTCTAAAGCTCTGCCTTGCCGGACACACGAACTGTCAGGACAAATATTCCAGCAGTTGCTCATGCTTTTAACACTTCCTGTCAGCTACAGAACACTTATTCTCTAAATTTCCCCTCCTGAAAGGGTCGGGTCATTTCTGTCCATGCGGAACCTTTTGAACTCCTAAAACTCCAGCTGTGTTGTAATTGAAGGGACTATTTCTATAAAGAGGTTATAATGTATGAGACTTTCAGAAATATGCACTGCTTAAGCTCAAGAACTTGAAATGAAGAAACTTAACATGACAATTAACCGCACAGTAGGAATGACCCAGCTGAGGTTTCTTTGTGTGCTAACATACCAAATACAACTTTGTATGCTCATATACAAAGCAAGGTCTTCACACAAATGTTTTGATCATTAATACTCACTTGTGTCCCAGATGTTTCAGGAAGTAGCCGAGAACTTTGAGAGCTTGGACTCGTATGCTCTCGCTTTTGGAGGCCAGGAGCTTGTAGATGACTCTGAAAAGTAAATAACGGAGATACATAAATTGTGGGAAATGTGGTTTCATTATTGAATCATTGCAGATTTGCATCCTGTGTTTTCACTTGCTGTGCAGTTTGAGAAATATAGATGCGAGTGAGAGGAGTAAACCATGGGTTAACTGGCTGGTTACCACATTCTTCAAAATATCTTCTACCAAAGAAAGAAGGTTACTTGGAATGACATGAGGTTGAGCAAATGATGACAGAATTTTTATTTTTGAATGGACTATAACTATGGAAAACTATGGAAAAATTATGAGAACAATCGGGATTACATATCAATTGACAGCCTTAGTAATAAAATGCCATAAAGATACCCAGAGGGTGTGAATTCATAGGGTGGGCAGTTCAAACAAGCACTTAAGTCCCTTGCGATGGGTTGTGAGGCGAGAGGGAATGTGATTGATGCAGCTGTGACAGCCCAAATCTATTTCAATTACGTAATCGGACTATGCAAGAGCTGTTTGTCCCCGAGGCCTCACCGTATTCCATTCCTCTGGTCGAAAGCAGGGATCATGGAGGCAGGGTGCTCAGACATGAGCGCGACCAAGAGCTGGAGCACATCATGGATGTTTTCATCCTGCCGGAGAGAAAAATGAACAAACAGACAGTGAACCAAACAACAGTAGACTGTAACGATCCACCAGATACCCTTAAAATGTCTGGGTGTTATATAATGCTGCACTTAACTAGCAGTTTTCAGGATTGTTTTCAATCAAATGGCTGCAGAGATGGTGCATTACTGCAATTTCATGGGACTCAAAGCATTAATGCAGCTTTCAGGATAAAATTAGCACCTTCCTGATGGACTTAAATACTTCTGACTCCTAAGGTGAACATTTCAGCCTTCCAGACAAATTAAAGCAGCTTGTTTTTCTTAAAGAACATGGAACAAGGTTTGTTTAATAAAGGCTAAATAAAAGTAGACCACAAGACCTTTGCTCCGTTTATTGATCAGTTTTACCTCATGCATGGTTAGCAGGTAGTTTAATATGCTCTGCAACTCATCTTCCTTTACTCCTCGGTCCTAAAAGAAAAAGGAAAGCACACAAAAATTAGATATATGCAGGCCCACATTATAATTTGTCTAATTTTTCTAGATCTAATTTTTACACAGGTTTATTTTTACTTTTGATAAAAAAAATGTCCTTTAAATGTGGTCAATATGTCATTTTATTTATTTTTTAGTCCATTTAACTCAGACTTAAATTGCATAAAACATTAGCTGACAAAAATAAAAATGTCAAACTGCAACAGAACAAATTTTAACTGAAATTTTAAAATGTTAAAAGTAATGGAAATGTGTATCAAACATAGAAAAAATCCAAACCATACAAAAATACAACAAGAGTTACTATATTGTGAATTATTCCTAATTTAAAGACTTCTATTAATAAAAAATAAATGTATTATTATTATTGATAATAATAATAAAAAAAAATCTATTTTTTCCCCTTTTAACATTTTCCAGTATATATTAGTTATTCGCTTTGTTGATGCTTGAGTTAAAGGTTTTTAAGGCAACTTATTAAAGGTCTTGCAATGTATTTCTTACATGCTATGGACATCGGCTGTAAAATCATCTATGTTTTGACTTTTAAACAAATACTTTGATATTTATATAATTGACACTTAATTGATACTTAAGTTGGGTTTTTCAAGGTTCTGAATGAATAGGAAAACATTTGATGTTGCGGGTAGCTGCATTACATTGTGTTAGCGTGAGTCTCAATGCTTTGTTTGGTGAAGTGAAGGGCATTCGTGATGGATTGGGGCCATTATTACAAGCCGCTCACAATGCTAATAACTGCACGAAAAGCGAGAAAAGGTGGAAGGGGGCAGAATATAATAGGAACGAAACAAAAAGGCAGCGGCTAAATGAAAAAAAAAAAAAAACGTTCTGCTTGGCAACCACATCATGCTTCTCAAAACAGGACGATAGCGTGTACACGTAACACACTCATTGCTTTGTGTCGAGTGATGATCCATAATGCAATTCTCTCCGTGTTGGCCTCATCAAGCCATCTGTATTGTTTTTAAACAAAGGCAAATAAACAAATTTCTGCACGACTGCCTTTCAAACTGGATCAAATTTCAGGGAAAAATTAGGATAAATTGTGTTATTTTAACAAAGCAAACGTGTCTTCTCGCTGTCACTGCTTGGGAACTAATGCATTTTACCCAGGCTGCCTGAATCATTGACATGTCAAATAAAATCCGTTTTGAAGAACAAAATGCTGATGCTGATAACAAGGCAGAGCAGAAATGACATGGAATATGTTACCACATGTGTCAAATATGTTTTTTAAAGTTTTATTATAAAGTCTAACTATAAAATATTCATCAGGGATATTTCTTTTTCCTTTCTGATACAATCTTTGATGAATAGAAAGTAGTAATATATCAATAATTGCAATCAAATACATTTGAAATGAAATACAAAAGGCACAATAAATACTATATATATATATATTTAGCTACCTGTGCCCTTCAGCAAGTAGAAAATATACAGAAATTGAATAAAGTTATCAAACACTAAATTCTAAATTAAATATAGTTGAATCCTTAAAGCTATAAAAGTTATTAATTTCCTCTTTTTTTTCTTTTGTTCTTTGATGAACGGACATCACAGCAGCTGGGTTAATAGGTTATTTTGGGTGCAGTTTCTTTAAGAGCTGCCACTGCTGAACGTGACGCGGATCTGACACGCATCGTATTTTCTCTCAACTCTCTTTACCTTTTCTGACCCACTTCAGGTCTTAAAGTCTCTATTAATGAGCTGACGAGCTGAATCGGGTGTGTTAGATGATGGAGACAGTGCCTGGGTGCTCCAGGACAGTTTTGAAAACCATTGCTTTTCAGAGATATGTTCTCTGAAATGTTCTTCATTTATGTTCTTAAATGTGACTCATCTATAACAAATACTTACATGCATGCACAGTTTTAAGGCAACTTTAATCGCCTTTTTGGTAATTTCATGACTTAACTGACCACCAGTTTTAAGGCAGCTTTAATCGCCTTCATGACTTAACTGACCACGACACTGCATGCACGTCGTTTCCTTCGCGCTTTGATATGAAATGATAAAGGCCACAGCGCGCGCCGGCGCCTTTGTGCGTGCAATTGAAGAGCGCGCGCCCAGTAGCCTACAGTACCGTTTCCGCGCTCGTTTGACTCGCGCCTGGCGCTGAGGTGAAGTGGAGTGTGCGTCTGAAACGTCTCCTGTTTGATGTGCTCGTAAAGACGTTCTGAGACTAACAAGAAAAAAGAGACAGAGGCAGCAGTTGTGAGTGGGGTGGCCAATACTAGCCCCGCCCCTGCGTTAACGGCGTTAAATATTTTTTACGCGTTAAACTGAAAAAATTAATCGCCTGCGTTAACGCGCTAATTTTGACAGCCCAT